GGGGTGACATAGTGAGACTCTGTCTCAAAAATAAATAAATAGGTACAAAAGTGTGCACGTAGGTTACCCAACTTAACTGCTTAAAATCATTTTACTCCACACTACAACTGAAGGCATGAACTGCTTATAAAATCTCAAGGTTCCTGAAAGTCGCTCCTCACCCGGGTCGGAAGCAATGGGTGACAGCTGAAGGAGGAAGTTGCCAGCCAGTTCCTCAAACTCCAGCAGGACATACAGGTGGCCCCTGGCCAGCTTAGTCACCGGCCAACCGACTTGCTCCACCCCCAGGTCAAGAGCCCTGGGCCTCCCCCAGCTCCCCTGTCCATGCCATCCTGTCCTTCCCCCACTGCCCAGCCCCCAACCCCAGCAGGACCATCCCCAGCGCTGGGCTGGGGGCCCTGCCTCGGGGCTGATGGGCAAGGGCAGGCAGTGACCTTCATCAGGAGCCCACAGGCTGGTGTCCCTGTGATGTTTTGTCCTCCAGTGAGCAGTTTGAGGAGCTGTAGAGTCTATGACATGTCACAACAAAATAACTACAGCGGCCCCTCATCTGTGGGGGACATTCCTATATACCCAGTGAGTGCCTGAAACTGTGGATAGCACTTGACCCCACACTGTGTCCCAGGGCTGCCCCCACATCTGCCACTTTGTGCTAATGGCCATCCTGACTTATGATGCCCACCGTGGATGGAGACTTTGCCCTCCATGGGTCCACAGCGAGAATGCGAACCCCCCGCCCTATCCTGCCTCCGGGGAGAAGCCCTGGGTGATATTTCACCACGGTGACTGAACTTTCCACTGCCACGGGCACCATGTGTCAGCCTGAGAGCCCCTCTGCAGGGCTGCTGGCCCCACATCACCCCACATGACTGTGGGATGGGGAAGCTGTAGGGAGGAGGAGCACAAGGAGAGCCCCAGATCTGTGTCTGGGGAGCAAAACAGAGGCATGGAGGGTGGTGACCGGACAGCACAGAGGAGAAAACCCAGGGTGAGTCAGAGAGCAGCAGGAGCCAGGGGACAGGGCATTAAGGAAAATGACTCCCAAGAGACCGAGGCAGCCTCTCCTGCCTGGGACCCGGAGTCAGTCCTGCAGGAGGGATCAGACCTGTGAGCCAGAGCAGCCGGGAGCAGCTGGCACAGAGCCTGTCGCCCTGGGAGCTCCTGGGAGCAGCACAGCTAGAAACAGACCCGGGAGCCCCTCCCAAGTCCTTCCACTTTAGTCATCTGTGAGGAAGCGTCTTTCAAACATCTCGTCTGGAGAAGCACCCACACCAGTCAGATTTTCTCAAAATAGTGACTGATTGATTGGTTGTTTTCTTTGTCCCTGGTGCTGGAGGGGAGAATATACTCAGTCCTGATGTAAACTACAGAATTTACTTTAAATATTAAATCTATCTCGGAGGCCCCCTAGTTAGAGAATCCCATTGTCTTCAGCTTTGGGATTTTTGGTTTTTGTTGTTGTTTTTATTTTTTATTTCTGAAGGCAAGGTGTCACTTTGTCACCCAGGCTGGAGGGGTGTAGCAAAATCATAGCTCACTGCATGCAGCCTCCAACTCCCGGGCTCAAGCAATCCTCCTGCCTCAACCTCCCGAGTAGCTGGGACTACGGTATGAGCCACCACACTTGGCTAACTTATTTGTTATAAAGACGGGGTTTTACCCTTGCCCAGGCTGGTCTCCAACTCCTGGCCTCAAGTGACCCTCGGGACTCCGCCTCCCAAAGTGCTGGGATTCCAAGTGTGAGCCACCACACACAGCCAGAATTTTGTTTCTCTGCTCTGCCTAATACTGCTCGACAAGCTGAACACTTTATTAATAAATCACATAGTTACAAATCAAGAATTGAATTTTTTTGCAGTATAAAATTGTTTTTTTAAAAAAAAGTACATCCTTAACCTGGCTGTGTTCTGTATTAACTACAACAGAATGAACTCTCACGTCACCTGCGCCACACTGAACCACGGGTTCTGCCACTGTTTTCTTCTCTTTTTTGGCATAATAAACAGAGTCCTGTGTTTCAGGTGCCGTGCTGTCAGATTTTTGAGGTTCTTTTCCTTGGGAATCCACCTAAGGCACAAAACAAGAACAGAAGGTGTCTGAGGGTCAGCGGCTCACTCAGCCCCCGTGTGTCTGTGTGTGGCCAGGGCACAAGCTCCTCGGGAGAACCACAGGGGGACGCCCTTGCCCCTCCTCGAAGCCTCTTCCCAGGCAGTCTCTCTACTGGAATCCTTTAATTTCCCTTCTGTGAAGTGACAAAAACAAAACTAGGGGATCCTGCAGAGGCGCAGCAAGTGCAAGGCCCCTCTGTCCTTCAGGGACACTCAGCACAGCCTAATGAAACTGCTGGTCATGACCATCACCAGACTCTTCCTGCTGGAACTGTGGAGAAGAGGAGAGTATCTCTGAAGAAGTTAGCCATTCAGCAGGTTCTTTGCACTACAATAGAGAGGAATTGGGGTTTTTTAAAGCTGTAGTTAATAACAAGGAAGCACAAGAAGAACACAGGCAGAGACGGACATGGACAGATGCGCCTGGACTGACGGTGCAGCCTCGCCCAATAAGCCCTTTGTAAACTGAAAATGTGTTAAGTCAAAAACATTTAATACGCCTAACCTACCTACTTTAAACATGCTCCAAATACGTATGTTATTAGCCAACAGCTGGGCAAGTGTCTGTCACAATGCACACTGCAGGGCCAGCTGTCCACTCACCTCAGCGCTCTGATCACTGCTGTGCCCGGCGTCCCGAAAGGATCACACAGCTTCCTTCTGACCAGGCATCACATTCTCACCATCATAATGTCCCAACTTGGTAAGTCAGAGACTGTAATTCTTAGCACCATCCCAATTCCAGCCCAGAAACTATCTTCATAATTAACTTTTTTAGGTTTTCTTTTTTTGATTTTTTTCTCAAATATTTGTAAGTGAATCCAGGCTAAAGTATATAAATAGATATTCCTCCAAAGCTCTGTCACTTAAGAAATGTCAAACTAAAAACACCTACCTTGTACCAATAAAACCTTGTATATGATGCAAACTGCCAGGTTTTACCCTCATAGGACTCAAGGTATAAAAAAAAAGTCCTCCAGCCTTACACAAGGGCCCACGCAAAACGTTTCTACCTATTTTAAGTTTTACAAGTTGAAATCACGTCCTTAAGCACAGGAAACAAGACCTTGGCAGGACTGGCTGTGGAAACAGAAGACGGAATGCGCTGCTTATATCTGGGCCTCTGCACATCCAGCTGAATCTCTTCATCACCACCCTGGCTGTCAGAATACATTTTCCGTGCATTTCACCTCTAAGATAAAGACACGAGCACATGGGTGCCAAGAAAAAGAATGTGCACACATTTTAAGAAAGGAAGAAGCTGTGTTAAATTTGCTCAAGTCACATTTGACGTCTGCCATGAGCACGCTCTGCCTGACTGGTGTTCATCTTCGGTTACTGGTATGTGTTCAGTATTAGAATTTTAATACAGCTTTTTCCTTTCCTAAACTGTGTATACATTTCCAGCGACCTCTGTATATATCTCTTACCGTATCTGAAATAACACTCAGAGTACAAGGACAGATAACAACAACCCACCTCATTATGGGGGCACAAAACAGTATGAGACAAAGCAGGGGGCAGAGGGCACACCCCTGGCAGCCCTGCCAGCTCCCCCACCTGAGGCCCTGCGACCGGATGGTGGGGGGGCATGATCAGATGGAGGGGGCTGCCTGGACGGTCACCAACAGTGAGAGCAGGCTTGGAGGCGGCAGGACGGCAGGGCACAGAGCGGGCATCACGCCATCAACCCATCCTTTCCTCACCTCATACTCACCCAACCATGTGAAGGGATCACGAGTTTTTAGTATTTGAACACGTCATTTCTGTGAAAGCTGGAGCAGCCCAGCTGTGGCTTCTCCACAAGAACCAGCCAGTCACACCCAGGCCCCTCATCTCCCCCACACTCTGCTCACAGCCGCCGACACAGGTGACATTGCGGCCAAGTGAAGGCAGAGAATGTCCGGTTTTCCATTCAGGAATTCCCAGAGCCAAGAGCAGCTCCTGTCACAGGTAGGTGCTCAGTAAACGTTTGTTGAATGAATAAGTGATCGATGGCAGCACAGACCTGCTCACTCCCCACCGTGCAACCCCTTGAGGGAGTTGTCCCAGTCCAGGGGGCAGGGGGATGTCCCAACACCTTAACCTAGCAGAGTGGCTTTTGCGCTCCAAGACCTACCCGCCTTCTGAGTCTGTGGCCGTCCTGACTGCTTCCTGCCGATACCATGCCCTTCTCCCCCTGGAACACCTTCCTCCTCCAAGTCCCAGCTCAGGCCTCACCTCGCCCACCCTGTGCAGGGTTCCTGCAGCACCTCAAAAAATTCCTGCCGTGTCATCAGCTGAGCTGGAAGACAGAAAAGCAGAAAAAGAGAGGAGCCAAAAAGCTAATATTCTTCAGACAAGAAAGAGTGGGGGCTATAGGGCCAGATTCTGCTGCCCAAGAATCTCTCCATGCTGAGTGCATACTGATCTGAGATGTCTGGGAGAGAACGGCACACACCACACGCCCTGATCCGAGCTGTCTGGGGGAAGGCGGACCACACCACATGACCTGATCCGAGCTGTCCGGGGGAAGGCGGCACACACCACGCTCCCTGATCCAAGCTGTCTGGGGGAAGGCGGCACACACCACGCGCCCTGATCCCAGCTGTCTGGGGGAAGGCGGACCACACCACACGACCTGATCCGAGCTGTCTGGGGGAAGGCGGCACACACCACGCGCCCTGATCCCAGCTGTCTGGGGGAAGGCAGTACACACCACATGTCCCGGCCTCTGAGCACCACAGTGCCTCATGGTGAAGACACAGTGTCCATGTAATACTTCGGGGCATTTCTCAACAACAGATATAGCCGCTTATATAATCACAAGATGGTTACCTAACTCAGGATGTTAATCTAGATATAATGCTTTCATCTAACCTACCATCCATAGTCCAGGCTTTTCACTGCCCCTAGAATGTTTATTACAGCATTTGTCCCTCAGTAAAGACCCAGTGTGGGGCCCACGTCACACTTCGTCTTCTTTGGTTTGAATCAGCCCCTCACACTTTCCTCATCTTTGGGGGGATAGCAGCGTTTTTTTAAGTGTACAGGTCTGTTTTGTTTTGCTTTACAGAAAGATCCAGGGTCAGCTTTGTCTGCTGTTCCCCGTGATTAGATGAAGATTGTACATCTCTGGCTGGAGGCCTTCCCTGGGTCACATCTGGAGCCCAGGAGATCTGTCTGTCTTGGTAGGGGATGGGGCTCGTGTAGCTTCCCCAGGAGCCAAGAACCTGCGCTCCAGTTAATGCCACCGGGGCACACTCTGACACTCCTCCCATCAGAACTCCCCTGCCCTAAATTCTGGTCTAAGCATGGATCTTGCTCTAATCAACCTCCAGGACAAAGTTTGTCAATGAAATGGAAGATCTTATCTTCTTAAACGGCACAAATTACAACACAACTTGGAAAACTCACAGAAAGAAAGCAGAGCAATTTTAGTTCCATTGAAAAGGGGAAACATGATGTAAGTCTTACATACCACTTGAAAACCTTACAAATTGAATCACACACTATCCTAGTGTTATACTTACTTCACTTAATTTTTGTTCTACATTTTTAAGACTCAAGGCAATCCCCAACACTTGCCTCAAAGCAGAGCAAGGGTTATCTTTCTGGTCGCACAAACAGAGACTGATGTTTGATGATAAGTGCTGAAGCCACTGCTGCCTCTGAAATAGCCACGGCTGTAATTCCATCTGCCCTGGTGAAGTGCCACCCTAATGGAACAGCCATCTGCACAGGCTGTCATGAGGCACGATACAAATTTTACTGCAGTTTCTCACATCTGAGCATCTCTGGTGAGTGAATTCATTCATCCCTCACTGATCGTCCACTGAACGACCACCAGGCACCAGCCAGAAGGGACCCACAATGCAGGGGCCCGAGGATAGCGCAGCAGAGAGACACACAGACAGCCCCGGGTGCATGCAGGGCCCTGTCCCGCCTGGGTGGAATGTAGGCTTCAGAGGGTGGGCTGTGAAGCAGGGGGGGGGTAAGTCCTCAAAAACAGCTTTACAGAGAAAGTGAGGCTCCCCGTCACACAATGCGTGTGGCCAACAGGCAGGGTGCACGTTCCAAAGAGAGGGGAAAAGCCGCCAGACTAGGGGGTTTGAGGCAAGGGACCCGGCCAGCTCAGCACTGGACCCACCAGGCTTGTGCGTCTACACTGGGGTCGCAGAGCTGGACGTGGACTCAATCAAAATAGAGAAGAAGAGCCTTAAAGGGAGGAGCTCTCTAATTAAATGTCTCTTTTAGGAAAGTACCGTGAGCTTCCCGGGGGCCCAGCAGGTGGCAGGTGCTCATCTGCTGGGATCCCCCCAAGTCCCTGCCCACTGTCCCTCTGGGCACCAAGCTGGGCAACTGGCTTGGTCTCCATCTCCCCAGAGGGAGCAAGACGTCTAAGAGCACCTGACTTTGAGGGCTGCATCATAAACGATGGAACTCCAGACACAAAGGCCTTAGATCCATGTGGGCACTAGACCAGCAGTCAACAAATGTCAGGAGTGAATAGAGTGGGTCAGATTTAAGTCCAGACACAGAGCTAGTGGGATGGATGGTGGTCCCAGAGAGGGGGCTGAGAGAATCTCTCAGGGGAGTGAGCAGGCAGTGTACACGGGTGGCAGAGGCCACAGTCCACATCCCCCAGGATGGAGCACCAGCTCCTCACACCACACCAGGCATTTGGCCTTGGCCTGGCCCAGCCTGGCTCCTGCCTCAGCTCAGGCAGCCTCTCTCATTTCCTAATTATCTCCTCAAGCCAGGCCTTCTCCAGAGCAGCCGCCTCCTCTCTCCCACTTGCTGAGCTATCGACTCAAAGTGATCATGTTCCCACACACAGAAGTCCCCTCCTGCACCCTACCCCCCACCCCGGCCCCTGTGAAGGGCACCACCATCCCCTTGCAGTTTTCCACTCCCGAGGATGTTTCTCCCTGTGGGCCCCCTGTGTCCTCACTCCCAGCGCTTGGACCAAAGTGTGTG